CCGCGACCCGCCCAGACATAGCGTATGCTGTGGGTTACGTGTCGCGTTTCATGGAGAATCCGCAACAAGAGCACTGGGTTGCAGTAAAGCGCATCTTCCGCTACCTTCAAGGCACCAAGTCGCACGGGGTCTGCTACCAACCAAGCGACAAGATTGAATTTCGCGGATACTCCGACGCGGACTGGGCCGGCGACCACGCGGATCGCAAGTCGACTTCAGGCTACGTGTTCATGCTGCTCGGCGCACCCATCATCTGGGGAAGCAAGAAACAGTCAAGCGTGTCGCTATCGACGAGTGAAGCGGAATACATCGCGCTGAGTCTGACCATCCAAGAAGGCAAGTGGATCCATCGCCTGCTATGCGAGGTTCTGACGGCTGCCAACGAAGAAGGTCCAGAGCTTGTCATCTTTGAATACAACCAGTCGTGCATCAAGATGACGAAGAACCCAGTCAACCACGGCCGTGCCAAGCACATCGACATCAAGTACCACCACATCCGTGATGAAGTCAAGCGCGGCGAAGTGCAGCTTGAGTATTGCGAGACGGCGACCATGTTAGCGGACATCATGACGAAGGGACTACATGGACCGCGCCACAAGGACTTGACGACGGCTCTCGGCATCCGTGCGAGTTCGGATTGAGGGGGCGTATTGAGGGTTACCGATACAATCCGAACTTAAGCGTAGTTTTTACGGGATAGTTTTTACGTCGGTAATTACGCAGGAATGATTAGACGAGTAGGGTGATTAGACGCGCCGACTGATTTATATGTGGACACATATAAATCAGGGCGTAGGCAGATAAGCTCCGATAGTCAATCACTTTCCAATCTTCCATCTACTCCCCAAGTGTCTTCTCCGGTCTTCCGAGTGGACTCCCAGCATCCTCCCCAAGTTTCGGTCGTCAAGCTTTACACCTTCCAACATAATCCGCACCCATGTGCAGCAACATCATTCCAAACGCGATGTTGCTGGTCTTGACGTAGTCGTCTTGCGCCCGAGGGTCCACATACGTCGGAGAGCTTTCCCGGTTGACAGCGTGCCACACTGACTTCGTCAGGAACACGCCACGCATGTATCGACTCCAAGTCGAATAGTTATCCCCATCGAACTTATCGATGAGGACGTTGGAGGATGCGTGGCCGGCAGAAGACATCGCGCTTGGGCTCATAACCTGTTGATGGTATGGCACGGACGTGACGAGAAGACCGGAAGAGACCGGAGGGAGCGAAGAGGCTTGAGGAGCGGAGCAGAGAACACTTGCTCGGCAGAAGGAGGATTCGAAAGTGATTGATTCATAGGTCTTAACTCTGCCTACCCTAGACTGCATCCAATCACATGGTGCATCTAATCAACCTGATTTACACGCGTCCAATCATCCTACGCGTCTAATCATCTCTGAGGTAATTACCGACGTAAGAACTATCCCGTAAGAACTACGCGCTAAGTTCGGATTGAACCGGTAACCCTCAACAAACCTATTGCCTTGCGGTCTTGCGGGAGCGGCACTAATTCCCAAGTCTTGTTCTTGCGCAATGATGCCACTTCGGAGTCGCAAGCGTCCTTCCATTTGGCCGCGTTGCTTGATTCCATCGCCGACTTGTACGTGGTCGGCATTTCCCCCACTGAATAAACAACGAATGCAGCTTCAAATTCTTGAGCCGTCGCGGACATCTCATCAAGCAATCGATGAAGACTCTGTTTCTTGGTCCTTGGGATCTCTGCGGCCTGTTCAAGCGACCGATTACGTTGATGCCGCTTGCTTCCAGGCTCAAAGTCGACGTCCGGAGGGGCTTGAGGCTGGGAGTACGTGGTGCGGTCGGGCATGAAATCTTGATCCGGCGCAGCGTCATCAGTGTCTTGGTCGGTACGATCAGTGGGAAACGAAGATTTCTCGACCACCTCTTCATCTTGAACGGCGACTGTGCCACTTCGCTTCACGTGATCAAAGACGTCCTCCAAGAATCGCGCATCACGACTTATGATCACACGACCGTTGTCAATATCTTCGAATCGATAAGCCCTTTCATGCTCGGAATAGCCAAGAAATCGACAGCGCACTGAGCGGGCGTCAAATTTCGAGCGTTTTTCCTTGGGTATGTGGGCGTACGCATGGCAACCGAAAACCCTCAGGTTCGCCAACAGCGGTTTCTTGCCAGTCCAAACTTGGTACGGTGACATGTTATGACCAACCGTACGTGTTGGGCATCGGTTGCGGAGAAATGTCGCAGTCATGATAGCTTCTCCCCAGTACGACTCCGGCAAACCAGCGTGTTCCAGCATGCAGCGACCACATTCAACCAGTGTGCAATTCATGCGTTCAGCAACTCCATTCAGCTGAGGGGTGTAGGGAGGCGTAAACATCTGTAGAATGCCGCGTTCTGTACAGAACTTGGCCATCGAACCAGAACTATATTCCCCGCCGTTGTTGTTGGAAGGTGTAAAGCTTGACGACCGAAACTTGGGGAGGATGCTGGGAGTCCACTCGGAAGACCGGAGAAGACACTTGGGGAGTAGATGGAAGATTGGAAAGTGATTGACTATCGGAGCTTATTCTGCCTACGCCCTGATTTATATGTGTCCACATATAAATCAGTCGGCGCGTCTAATCACCCTACTCGTCTAATCATTCCTGCGTAATTACCGACGTAAAAACTATCCCGTAAAAACTACGCTTAAGTTCGGATTGTATCGGTAACCCTCAATACGCCCCCTCAATCCGAACTCGCACGGATGCCGAGAGCCGTCGTCAAGTCCTTGTGGCGCGGTCCATGTAGTCCCTTCGTCATGATGTCCGCTAACATGGTCGCCGTCTCGCAATACTCAAGCTGCACTTCGCCGCGCTTGACTTCATCACGGATGTGGTGGTACTTGATGTCGATGTGCTTGGCACGGCCGTGGTTGACTGGGTTCTTCGTCATCTTGATGCACGACTGGTTGTCTTCAAAGATGACAAGTTCTGGACCTTCTTCGTTGGCAGCCGTCAGAACCTCGCATAGCAGGCGATGGATCCACTTGCCTTCTTGGATGGTCAGACTCAGCGCGATGTATTCCGCTTCACTCGTCGATAGCGACACGCTTGACTGTTTCTTGCTTCCCCAGCTGATGGGTGCGCCGAGCAGCATGAACACGTAGCCTGAAGTCGACTTGCGATCCGCGTGGTCGCCGGCCCAGTCCGCGTCGGAGTATACGCGAAAGTCGATCTTGTCGCTTGGTTGGTAGCAGACCCCGTGCGACTTGGTGCCTTGAAGGTAGCGGAAGATGCGCTTTACTGCAACCCAGTGCTCTTGTTGCGGATTCTCCATGAAACGCGACACGTAACCCACAGCATACGCTATGTCTGGGCGGGTCGCGGT